CCTGGGCTTTGCCAACTTTGGCCTTCTCACAGGGGCCTTCTTCTCACCTAACCTGCTACCAAGGAAAGTGCTTGTGGACCTAGCACCAGCTTTCGCGCTGTACGTGTTGTGGGGATGCCAACACTTCTGTGACAACGCACGGGCTGTGAGCCCTGCTGGCATGCCGCGAGACAAACTACAGGCGTGGTTTGCCTGGCCAACAAATGATGTTGCGAATGATGAGACGCGCCGGCTTTTTACCCCCAAACAACGCATTGCAGTTACCGCGAATGGCTTCCTGGCAACCCCGCGCAATTTCAGTGGCTATTGTTCCAAGTACACAGCGGGGAAACAATCGTTCAGCAAGAAAACAGCTGCCATCCAGCAGGGAAATAGCCTGGCTCCTGCATGGAAGCTTCCAGCAAGGAAACTGTTCTAGCATCACGTGTGTCTCTATCCAGCAAGGAAAGAGCTGTCCAGCAAGGGAAACAGCAGTTCAGTAAGAAACAGAAGTGTAGTAGGGAAACATCCGAACAGGATGCCTGGCAACCCTATGGAACACCAAAGGAGCGCCGGCACATATCTAGCATCATTTGTATCCCTAGGGCGGCTTTTCCTTTGCTGGAAAGCTTCTCTTTTGCTGGACGGCTTTTCCTGCTGGACGGCTGTTCCTTTGCTGAGCGGCTTTCCCTTGCTGATAATGCTGATAATGGAATGCTTGCTCACACTGTTGGTATACATATTGTCACCAAGTTATTCGATGGAATGCTACTGTAATCTCACAACATCGCTGTATCTACCCGTGCTTTTGTTGACTGAAACGCGGTAACATCGTGCTCGGTGAATGATTCTTGCGTGCTTGATGGCTGGGCAGGTTGTGTCCGACGCCGTGTGTTTGAGCAAATCCGCCGACAACAGACGGCGTGCTGGACATAAAAAATGCTCCTTACCTCTTTTCCTGTTACCCCTCCCCTAACCCCTCCCCAGGGGCACCATTTCAGACTATTGCGGGGGGGGGGGGGGTCCACGTACCACGCGGTGATTCGAAGACGCTTCACTAAATCTGTGGGCTTGCGCAACTCAGCTTGTCAAAAACATTGAGGTGTTCGATTCCCCCCGGGTGCGCTTTTGCATCCTTAGCAGCCTCCAGCGGCACATCGCCAGCATCACCTGCATCATCCGCATCAGCGCCTGCCAAGGATGCGGATGATGCAAGTGATGCTGGGGATGTTGCCCATGCTGGTGAAGGAAATGAAGGAGGGAAAGGGGGAAAGGATCTCAAGGCCTTTCCCCCCCTGAGAGCTTCTCCCTTTTCCTTCCTTAGATCTTTTCCCCCCTTTCCCTGTTGGCCTTTTTTCCCCAGATCTTCTCCCTTACCTCCCTAAGATCTTTTCCACCCCTTTCCCTGTTGAGATCATTTCTCCCCTTTCCCCCCTAAGGCCTTTTTGCCCCAGAAGATCTGCCTTTCCTCCCTAAGATCTTCCCCCCCCCCCAGTTCCCTGTTGAGATCATTTATTTCCCCCCTTTTCCTTCTAAGGCCTTTTCCCACCCTCAGTTCTTCTCCCTTTTCCTCCCAAAGATCTTTCCCCCCCTTTCCTCCCTAAGTCCTTTTCCCTGAGTTCCTCTCCCTTTGCCTCCCTAAATCTTTTCCCCCCTTTCCCGCTTAAGATCCTTTCCCCCGTTTCCCCCCTAAGGCCTTTTCCCCCCAAGATCTCCACCCTTCTCTTCCCAAAGTCTTTTTCCCCTTTTCCCGTTTGAGATCCTGTCCCCCCATTGCCTCTTAGGGCCTGTTCCCCCCGAGAAAGATTTCCCTTTTCCTCCCAAAGATCTTTTCCCCCCTTTCCCCCTTAAGGCCCCAGATCTTCTATCTTTCCCCCCCTTTCGCTGTTGAGATCCTTTCCCCCCCCTCCTTCATTTCCTTCACCAGCATGGGCAACATCCCCAGCATCACTTGCATCATCCGCATCCTTGGCAGGCGCTGATGCGGATGATGCAGGTGATGCTGGCGATGTGCCGCTGGAGCTGCTAAGGGTGCGAAAGCGCACCCGGGGGGAATCAAACACCCCAATGTTTTTGACAAACTGAGTTGCGCAAGCCCGCACAATGAACAGATTTAGTGAAGCGTCTTCGAATCACCGCGTGGTACTTGGACCCCCGCGCAATAGTCTGAAATGGTGCTCCTGGGGAAGGGTTAGGGGAGGGGTAACAGGTAAAGAGGTAAGGAGCATTTTTTATGTCCAGCACGCTGTCTGTTGTCGGCGGATTTGCTCAAACACACGGCGTCGGACACAACCTGCCCAGCCATCAAGCACGCAAGAATCATTCACCGAGCACGATGTTACCGCGTTTCAGTCAACAAAAGCACGGGTAGATACAGCGATGCTGTGAGATTACAGTAGCATTCCATCGAATAACTTGGTGACAATATGTATACCAACTGTGTGAGCAAGCATTCCCAGCATTATCAGCAAGGGAAAGCCGCTCAGCAAAGGAATAGCCGTCCAGCAGGAAAAGCCGTCCAGCAAAAGAGAAGCTTTCCAGCAAAGGAAAAGCCGCCCTAGGGATACAAATGATGCTAGATATGTGCCGGCGCTCCTTTGGTGTTCCATAGGGTTGCCAGGCATCCTGTTCGGATGTTTCCCTACTACACTTCTGTTTCTTACTGAACTGCTGTTTCCCTTGCTGGACAGCTCTTTCCTTGCTGGATAGAGACACACGTGATGCTAGAACAGTTTCCTTGCTGGAAGCTTCCATGCAGGAGCCAGGCTATTTCCCTGCTGGATGGCAGCTGTTTTCTTGCTGAACGATTGTTTCCCCGCTGTGTACTTGGAACAATAGCCGCTGAAATTGCGCGGGGTTGCCAGGAAGCCATTCGCGGTAACTGCAATGCGTTGTTTGGGGGTAATTAGCCGGCACGTCTCATCATTCGCAACATCATTTGTTGGCCAGGCAAACCACGCCTGTAGCTTGTCTCGCGGCATGCCAGCAGGGCTCACAGCCCGTGCGTTGTCACAGAAGTGTTGGCATCCCCACAACACGTACAGCGCGAAAGCTGGTGCTAGGTCCACAAGCACTTTCCTTGGTAGCAGGTTAGGTGAGAAGAAGGCCCCTGTGAGAAGGCCAAAGTTGGCAAAGCCCAGGCTTGCAGCATCGCATCAGTCCTTCGGATTTTGCCATTGGTTGTAGCAGTGCACCGCCATGTTTCACGCAAGGTATGGGAAAGGTTTGCTAAGAACCTTGTAAAATGATACTTGTTTTTGATTGAAAATCAAAATCAAGGTGCCACCATGGTGCCAAGAGGCTAGGTGTTTTTTCATTTCTGCTTCTTCATCAAATGGTGGTTGACTGAATGCGACCATCTCACACTGTTTTCCCATACACTCTCAGCACGCGTGCCAGGAGTGTTGCAAAGGACACGGCGCGCAGCAGAAATATATAAATAAGTAAATATATATACATATAATATATATTTATATCTAATATATATATATAATATATATATATATATAAATACACAGATATCAAGCGCACGAAACTCGAAATTCAGCCTGTGACCCCGCAGCAGGTGACACGTCAGGGTTGGATTGCTTAGGCTCCTCAAGTGATGCCGGAACTTTGTACACAACTAGTCAAGGTGCTATTTGGCGGCTTCATGTGCCATCCCAGCTGAGCTTTGGAAAGCGATCCAGCAGCAATTTTGCGCCCTTTGGCATGAAACTCCAGCGGCAAAAGAGTTCGCGCAATTGCTTGGTCGACGCGATATGTTTTTCGTTGGCATCATGGCTGCGCTGCTTGGGGCCTCGGAACACAGCCAAGAATTCAAGGCTTGTCAGAAATTGTTATTTTAACGCCTCCGGCTCAGGCCGCCGACATTACAGGCCTGCTTTCTTATTTGCGTCCCTTTGGAATTGACCCCTTGCCCCCCTTCCCCTCTAAGATCTTATCTTTGCCCCCCTTTCCCTGTTGAGATCCTTTCCCCCTTTCCCCCCTAAGGCCTTTTCCCCCCCTGAGGTCTTCTCCCTTTTCCTCCCTAAGATGTTTTCCCCCCTTTCCCTGTTGAGATCCTTTCCCCCTTTCCCCCCTAAGGCCCTTTCCCTGTTGAGATCCTTTCCCCCCTTCCCCCCCTACGGCCTTTTCCCCCTAAAATCTTCTCCCTTTTCCTCCCTAAGATCTTTTCCCACCTTTCCCTATTGAGATCCTTTCCCCCCTGTTTCCCCTAAGGCCTTTTCCCCTCTGAGATCTTCTCCCTTTTCCTCCGTAAGATCTTTTCCCCCCTTTCCCTGTTGGCTTCTTTTTCCCCCAGATCTTCTCCCTTTCCTCCCTAAGATCTTTTCCACCCCTTTCCCTGTTGAGATCATTTCTCCCTTTTCCCCCCCCTTAAGGCCTTTTCCCCCCGAGATCTTCTCCCTTTTCCTCCCTAAGATATTTTCCCCCCTTTCCCTGTTGGCCTTTTTTCCCCCAGATCCCCTGTTCCTGAGTCCTTTGTCCCCCAAGATCTTTCCTTCCCCCCCCCCTCCCCGATCTTCTCCCCAGTTCCCCCCCTAAAATATGGTTCCCCCTTTTCCCCCGAAGATCTTCATTTCCCTTCACTTTCCTTCACTTCGGTTCATGTCCCTTTATGTCTGTTTTTGCGCCTGCCTTCTTTCAGCTCAGCTGAAGGGTCAAGGTGGACCAATACAGAAGGAATGCCTCCGGCGTTGAAGCGCAAAAGAAGGCGCTGCCCACGACACGCCTAGTTTTCGTCACACCGCCGCACCCAGTTTTCGTGGCCCACACCTAGTTGGGCGGGCCCTAGTGTCTTGGGCTGCGTCTACGTTCTGGTCCGAAATTTGATTTCCGTGGGCCGTGCGCAATTTCCGGGTCCAAGCCTATTACCAAGTCTAAGTGCAAGTGAAAGTGACGATCGAGCAACAGCCGCCACGCAATGCCACGCATTCTGCCTAAATTGGTGCAGTTTCGCTTAATTAGTCACACAAGACCATTGCAGGCCGTCGTAAGAAGACCTGACGGCCCCGGCTGAGGTTGCCGATGATCTGCTGCAGCATGCTTTGCACCACAAGGTGATGCACAAACAGGATCGAACCAATCCTGAGTTGATCTCCCCGGCAATGATATGATAACTTTGCAATGCGCCATTTCCAACTGGCCATGTTTGCACCCTAAACACGTAATCCGCTTGACTTCAAGTACCAGCCACAGATTGCTTGCATGCCCATGCGTCTCCGGGGATCCAATACACAGGAGGTGAAAGCACTCGAAGCGCGCATTGAGAACAAGACCGTACAGTACCAATACGACCAGGCGAGGGAAAGTGTGGTGAGCCTCCATGATTCTAGCGTTTGTTTGGAAGTCGTTCGGTTGATCTGGGGCCTCCACTTGTATTCTGGGATTTTGGGAAGGACTTGACATCAACTCTCGCTCGCTTCGTTCTAGATTCGAGGCCCTCCTAAACCAGTCATTTTGCCGGGTGCCCGGATTCCAAGCTTCTTCCGGCAGGTCTACGAGTCGGTCGAGCAACAGGTGCTGCAGAAGAGCCGCATCGTGCTGCTTGTCTCTCATGTTTGTGGTGTTTACTCAACGTTGGCAGTATGAATAGAAGGTAATAGAAGTATGTATATGTATGTATGCATGCGAGCGACCAACCAATTAACAAGCAATTCACATATTATTTTGATACAGTCGGAATACCAAAACAAGCGAGAACCCCCCCAAAAAAGGAAGAAGAAGAAGGAAATAAGACCAAAGCGAGATAGCTTTGTAGAAACCCATTCAAAAGGATGAAGCGACATTAGCAGTGAGAGAGGAGACTGCACGATTGACAAAGAACACAGCAACAACTGAGGTGCTCTTGCAGGTCTTGAAAGCCATGCATGTGTGTATGTAGGTAGGTAGTGTATAGTATTTTGCATGTGTGAATTTATGTAGGTGTGTAATGTATGCATGCATGCATGTATGTATGCAATGCATGCGTGCATGCATGCATGCAATGCGTGTATGGAATGTAATGCAATGCAATGTAATGTAATGTAGTGTATGATATGTTATGTTATGGTGTGTTGTGTTATGTAGGCATGTATGTATGCTTGTATGGATTTCTGCAATGTAGACATGTGTGTATGCATGCATGACTCTATGTATGTATGTACGTACGTACGTGTGTATGCATATATGTATGCATGTATGTATGTATGTGTGTGTATGTATGTAATGTAAAGTAGTGTAATGTAATGTAATGTAATGTAATGTAATGTAATGTAATGTATGTATGTATGTATGTATCAATGTAATGTAATGTAATGTAATGCAGTGTAATGCAATGTAGTGTAATGCGTTTATGTATGTACGTACGTATGTATGTATGTATGTATGTATGTATGTAATGTAATGTATGTATGTAATGTAATGTGATGTGATGTGATGTGATGTAATGTAATGTAATGTAATGTAATGTAATGTAATGTATATATGTATGTATATATGTATGTATGTATGTATGTATGTATGTATGTATGTATGTATGTATGTATGTGTGTGTAATGTATGTATGCATGTATGTAATTAATGTAATGTAATGCTATGTAATGTATGTATGTGTGTGTGTTTCTGTATGTATAAATGTATGTAATGTAGTGTAATGCAATGTAATGTAATGTAATGTGTGTATGTAGGTATGCAGGTATGTAATGTATGTACGTACGCATGTATGTATGTATGTATGTATGTATGTATGTATGTATGTATGATATGTATGTATGCATGTATTTAATTTAGTGTAGTGTAATGTAATGTATGTATGTATGTATGTATGTATGTATGTATGTATGTATGTATGTATGTATGTATGTATTTTATACGCATGTATGTATTAATGTATTCATGTATTTATGTATGTATGTAATGTATTTCATGTAATGTAATGTATGTACGTATGTAAGTATCTGTGTGTGTTTGCAATGTATACACGCTGTATGTATGTAGGTATGTACGTATGTATGGTAAGGTAAGGTAAGGTAACGCAATGAATGTAATGTAATGTGATGTAATTTGATGTAATGTATGTGTGTATGTGTGTATGTATGTACGTAAGGTAACAGGAGGTAAAATAATGCAATGCAATGCAATGTAATGTAATGTAATGTAGTGTACGCGTGTATGTAGGTATGTATCTATCTATCTATCTATCTATCTATGTACTATGTATCTATGTATCTATGTATCTATGTATCTATGTATCTATGTATCGATGTATGTGATGTATGTAATGTAAGTATGTAGTGTAATGTATGTATGTATGTCATGTAACGTATCGTAATGTAATGTAATGTTGTATGTTTGTTTGTTTGTTTGTATGTATGTATGTATGTATGTATGTATGTATGTATGTATGTATGTATGTATGTATGTATGTATGTATGTATGTATGTATGTATGTATGTATGTATGTATGTATGTATGTATGTATGTATGTATGTATGTATGTATGTATGTATGTATGTAAGTAATGTGTGAATGTAATGTAATGTAATGTATGTATGTATGTATATGTATGTATGTATGTATGTATGTATGTATGTATGTATGTATGTATGTATGTATGTATGTATGTATGTATGTATGTATGTATGTATGTATGTATGTATGTATGTATGTATGTATGTATGTATGTATGTATGTATGTATGTAATGTATGTATGTATGTATGTATGTATGTATGTATGTATGTATGTATGTATGTATGTATGTATGTATGTATGTAATGTAATGTAATGTAATGTAATGTATGTAATGTATGTATGTAATGTATGTATGTATGTATGTATGTATGTATGTAATGTAATGTATGTAATGTATGTATGTATGTATGTATGTATGTATGTATGTATGTATGTATGTATGTATGTATGTATGTATGTAATGTAATGTAATGTATGTATGTATGTATGTATGTATGTATGTATGTATGTATGTATGTATGTATGTATGTATGTATGTATGTATGTATGTATGTAATGTGTATAATGTATGTATGTATGTATGTATGTATGTATGTATGTATGTATGTGTATGTATGTAATGTATGTATGTATGTATGTATGTATGTATGTATGTATGTATGTATGTATGTATGTATGTATGTATGTATGTATGTATGTATGTATGTATGTATGTATGTATGTATGTATGTATGTATGTATGTATGTATGTATGTATGTATGTATGTATGTATGTATGTATGTATGTAATGTATGTATGTAGGTAGGTAGGTAGGTATGTATCTAATGTAATGTAATGTAATGTAATGTATGTATGTATGTATGTAATGTAATGTAATGTATGTATGTATGTATGTATGCATGTATGTATGTATGTATGTATGTATGTAATGTATGTGTGTAATGTATGTATGTAGTGTAATGTATGTATGTAGTGTAGTGTAGTGTAGTGTACTGTAGTGTAGTGTAGTGTAGTGTAGTGTAGTGTAGTGTAGTGTATGTATGTATGTATGTACGTACGTACGTACGTATGTATGTATGTATGTATGTATGTATGTAGTGTAATGTGTGTTTGTATGTTTGTATGTTTGTATGTATGTATGCAGCTGTCTATGTGTGTGTGCGTGTGTACTTTGTATGAATGTATGTATGCATGCATGTATGTACGTCCATATATGTATGCGTGTATGTAATGTAGCGTAGTGCAATGTAACGCAATGTAATTTCATGCCATACAATGTAATGTACGTATGTATGTATGCCATGCCATGCCATGCAATGAAGTTGAGCGCAACAAGTGCTTTTTATAAATGTTATGTCATGGGATGTCATGCAATGTAATGAAACGTGTTTGTAGTGCGCTAAGACAGGACTGAATCCTTCTCCGCGGCCTTTCAGTTGACGGCCTTGGGCGGTTTCCCCCAGGATCAGAGTCTCAATTTCATATTCTTTGCGGCTGTTCACTTGCACCCCCCCTCCCCCCCTGAGAAGCTTTGAAAGACCTTTCGGAACCCACCCTCGCAAAGAAATGCAAAGCTCAGTTTCTTAGCCTTTGCCGCAAATGGAAGCGACAGTCAGAAACGACACACCTTGCAATCCGCAAAGTCCGCAGCCGGCTTTCGGCAAGCAGGGCTTTTGATTCGAAGGCCACACGGTGGGTCGGGTTTGGGAAGCCTCCAGAAAAGTCTGAGGTAAGTCTGACCGCAGCGTGTAAGGTGGGCCGAGAGCGTAGGTATGTATATGTGCATGTATGCATGCACGAACGCGTGTATGCAACGGGAATCTATACGCTCGCACATTCGGACTTTTGGCGTTGCTCACTTGAGTTGCCCCCCCAAGCCCTGCATTTGAATGGTCAGATGCTTGGGCTTGATTTCGTTTTCATGTTGAGGATTTAACTGAAAGATTGAGACCAGGGAGCTACTCGTAGCTGAAAGACACAGAGCCGGCCCGGGGTTTGCCCATGTGGTTTTCAGGATCACCACCTGCAGTTCCGCGCTTTCGCATGGGGCGCTGAAGGAGAAGAAGGACGGTAAACAACGAAGCGGCTCAACGGGGAGGGGGCAAGATGCGCAGCACGTGCCATTCGTCATCAAGCTTTCAAGAAAGGCTGACGTCCAATGCCTAGGATCGGGCTGCCAATTTTGGGAGAGAATTTCCAATCTTGGGACATGGATTGAAGACATAGCGAGACTAATGTCCATGGGATTAGTAAACAAGGGTCCCCCCCCCGACGATGGGGGCACCTGGAATAGTATCTTTCTTTTGAGATTTGGAACTGAGTTTCCATTTGATTTAGTATTGCTGGAGCTTCCTTTTGAGATTTGGAACTGAGTTTCCATCTGTATTGGTAGACTTGAGTTTCCATTTGATTTAGTATTGCTGGAGCTTTTCTTTGAGATTTGGAACTGAGTGTCCAGTGGATTTCGTATTGGTAGACTTTGAGCTTCCATTTGATGTAGTATTGCTGGAGCTTCCTTTTGAGACTTGGAACTGAGTCTCCATTTGATGTAGTATTGGTAGACTTGAGTTTCCACTTGATGTAGTATTGCTGGAGCTTCCTTTTGTTTTCCTGGGGGCGCCAGGCGACAAGACTTTATTTCGGGGACCCCTGAAATAATGTCAAGTTGGGGGCTGAAGTACTGCCCCCTTTTTGGGTTTGATTGTGAACAGGTTTTCAACAAGAGACATGTAAGAAAACATGGGTTTGGTAAAGCTGACAATTTTGGATTTGAGGAGCAGGCCAAAATCTAGCAACACAGCATGAAGCATTGCCAGCCTCACCTAGGCTGTCTAATTATTACTCGACTAGCTAAGAAGCAATTGCGTTGGGCAGGTTGTATTTTTCAGGGGGCCAGGCAAGACTTTATTTCGGGGGCCCCTGAAATAATGTCAAGTTGGGGGCTGAAGTACTACCCCCTTTGTGGGTTTGATTGTGGGCAGGTTTTCAACAAGAGACATGCAAGAAAACATGGGTTTGGTAAAGCTGACAATTTGGGATTTAAGGAAGAAGGTACCAAAGATCCAAGGACCAGGTGTTGGCTTGGCTATCTCTCCTCTCCTTTCTCTTTGTCTTTCCCTTTTTTTTGGAGGGGGGGATTTTTTGTTGGCGCGGGTGGCGGGTGCTTGTCTTTATTCCAGGTGCATTTACTAATCTTTTTGGGCCCCCCATTTGTCTTTATTTCGCGTGCATTTATTAATCTGAGGGCTTGTCGCTTTCAGCGTGAGCTCAGGTTGCGTTGCCTTTCGCTCTGTGGTGGTGGACGAATGCGCGCAAGCCACAGAGCCAGAGGTTGTGCTGTCGGTCATGCGTGCCCCGGTTGCAATGGCTCCACAGATCCTGCCACGGCTGTTTGTCAACCAAGGGGCCGAGGACAGAGCCATCCTTGTTGGCGACCACAAGCAGCTGGGGCCAGTAGTCACTGAGCACAGTCTGTGCAAAGCCTTCCTTGTCATGCTGGAAAGGCACGCTGCCGGAATCCAGACGCCTGTGCCTTTTGTGAAGTTATTTTTCCATGCCAAGAAGAGCGCAAGCCCTGTATATTGTTGGGATGTGCAATGCAGGCTTGCAAGCGTATTTGCATGACTGGAGCTTGTGGGACCTTCGTATCAAAGGCATCTTTAGGCTTTTTATTGTGGTCTGTTCGCTTTTTGCTACATGCCAGGCCACTCCTCGAGAGGCTGGCAAGCCGAAAGGAGATGGAGCACCGCAAGAAGCTCTGCAGCACCATGCTGCAGCAGCAGTATCGGATGCACAACTCCATTTGCACCTTCCCATCAAAGCACTTCTACAACAATCAGCTGCAAAACGTGCAGAGCCTGCCGCTGCTGCCGACGGTTGCCACCGTTTGGCCCCGACAAGAGGAGAAGGTTGTGTGGATTGATTGCGACCACCCACACCACATGGGCCATGTGGTCCAAGTGGGTAACTCCAGAAGCCTGAAGACCTCGGTGTTGGAGAACAACACCTCATTACAAAACCCAGGTGAAGCTGACCTCATCGTTGAGGTCTACAAGCGTTTGCTTCGAGGTGGCTCGAAGCCCGAAGATATTGCCATCATTACACCCTACAAGGCCCAGCAACAGTACATTGAGCGGAGCTTGAAACATGTCTCCACCAACTCTTCAAGGACCTTGACCTTATGTTTTGTTTCGCACGTGTTCGAGCAACCAGGGTTTGTGAGAGGACTGCTGTGGGCACAGTCTTCAAAATGCAGGGATCTGAGCGTCACTTTGTGCTACTGAGCTTCGTGCGAAGTGTTGCAGAAGGCAGGGCCAAGCGTTGTGTTCCAAGCATGATGAACTTTGCTGCTTCCCTTTACTTTTAACACTATTGCCATACTACATACTGACTGCAATCTCTCCATCCAGCCGTGGATCACTGCATTTGTTTTTTTCGTCACTTCCTCATCAAGGGTGTGCATTGGCGATCCGTTGTCTCACATGTAATCCATGCTCGACGAAAGCTGGCTGTTGATGCAACCTGTGAGCTGGCGCAGTTACGCCGCTGTGTCCAGGCTGGGCGCTTCGCAACCTGTCCATGCAGAGCTCCAGCAATGAGATCCGCGCCACTTGCCGGAACAAATCGTTTGGTTGTGTCAGCCGGGCAGACACTTCCTGAGGCAGGTGTAAAAGCACTTTTGCGTTATGCGCCGTCACGCCGAAGCCCTGTTGTGTTTTTGTACCGGTGGTTGTACCATGCAAGTGGGTTGACATCTTTCGTGCAAAACGCACGTGCGGAGAAGGTTTGCGGAAGGGTTTGCCTCGCGGGAGCTCTGCAGAAGGTTAAGCAACACGAGTTGGACGGTTTCTTCTGAGCAAATTCCACTTCAGCATCTGCGCCTCAGAAGCTGCAGCTCAGCAACCAAGCAGCCTGCGCAGCTTGCTCTTCAAAAGCTTCGGCTCAGCAGCTACGCATCGGCAACCAAAAGCTAGTCCGCTGCAGCAACTTCGGCTCAGAAACTAAACTCTTTGCTCGCTTCAGCAACTGGAAATTTCGCTTCTCCAGACCCAGCTTCAGCTTGATACCGAAACACGTCAATCAATGACAAGGCCAGGGACAAGCTCCGTAACGGAGACTCTTTGAAGATGAAGTTTCTGGCCGCCAACGGCTGATCGCCTGGTTAAAAGGGTCACAGCCAAGGCTGGTTGTACACATCTGGATCAGCGAAGCGCCCTGACGTGAAGCCAGGATACGCATGCTACAGTTGCCAGGGCTTGTAAGCCAGCCAGACCAGTGAGCGCAATGCAAGTGCCTCGGGCAGAGAGTGGGGAGATCACATGGCTTGCACTTCGGCAAAGTTCTCTGGGTACTGAGCAGTCCGGCGCTATAGTTTTCGATGGTGTTTGACAAAAGCTCTGGCAGCTTGCAATACCAAGCCCAGTCTGCAGGCCTGGGCGCACTTGGTTGCATTCTGATAAGTTTTTGGAGCCAAGCTTGGGCAGATAAGCTTTGGGTTATTGAAGCAGGGCACTGGGTTGTGAGCACGCTGCGGAGTGGTTGGGCTGGAACCTAATTGTGTGATTTTCGACTCGAGGCCTCTTGGTTTCCAAAGCGAAGTTTTTGGTTTGCGAAGCCAAGCTTCTTGACGTCTGAAGCATGACCGGACCAGGTCTGTTTCCGAGAGGCATTTCAAGGCCACATTGGAGGCCAAAGCGTAGTTTGCGAGGCATAGATTCCGCATGGCATGCCCGTTTGGCTGACTGCATCCCTTGAGGTTTCTGAGCCTTCCAGCAATCCAGCTCTTCGTCAGACGTTCGAGACGCACATTGGCATTGCTGGCAAGGCGGGGTGCCCGGCCCTTGCCAGACTTGCAATGGCAGTGTTGGTCGCGGTGTTGAGATCTGCAACCGCAGGCAGACTTGCTCAATGTCGCCTTGACTCGAGCGATGCTTGGCCGCGGGGTGGGAAATCAAATCCGATGACAGCTGTGTCAATGTTTCCCCGCTCCTGCTGTTGTTGCTGCTGTTGCTGCTGCTGTTGTTGTTGGTTGTTGTTGTTGATGATGTTGTTGTTGATGTTGTTGTTGTTGTTGTTGTTGTTGATGATGATGATGATGTTGTTGATGTTGTTGTTGTTGTTGATGATGATGATGATGATAATGATGATGATGTTGTTGTTGATGTTGTTGTTGATGTTGTTGTTGGTTGTTGTTGTTGGTTGTTGTTGTTGGTTGTTGTTGGTCGCTGTTGGTTGTTGTGGGTTGTTGTTGGCTGTTGTTGGCTGTTGTTGGCTTTTGTTGGTTTTTGATGGTTGTTGTTGTTGTTGTTGGTGGTTGTTGGTGGTTGTTGTTGGTTGTGGTTGGTTGTGGTTGGTTGTGCTTGTGCTTGTGCTTGTGCTTATGCTTGTGGTGGTTGTTGTGGTTGTGAGTGTGGTTGTTGTTGTTGTTGTGGTTGTGGTTGTTGTTGTTGTGGCTGTTGTTGTTGTTGTTGTTGTTGTTGTTGTTGTTGTTGTTGTTGTTGTTGTTGTTGTTGTTGTTGTTGTTCTTGTTGTTCTTGTTCTTGTTCTTGTTCTTGTTCTTGTTCTTGTTCTTGTTCTTGTTCTTGTTCTTGTTCTTGTTCTTGTTCTTGTTCTTGTTCTCTTGTTCTTGTTCTTGTTCTTGTTCTTGTTCTTGTTCTTGTTCTTGTTCTTGTTCTTGTTCTTGTTCTTGTTCTTGTTCTTGTTCTTGTTCGTGTTCGTGTGTTGTGTTCGTGTTCGTGTTCGTGTTCGTGTTCGTGTTCGTGTTCGTGTTCGTGTTCGTGTTCGTGTTCGTGTTCGTGTTTGTGTTTGTGTTTGTGTTTGTGTTTGTGTTTGTGTTTGTGTTTGCGTTTGTGTTTGTGTTTGTGTTCGTGTTCGTGTTCTTGCTATTGTTATTGTTTTTTTGTTTTATTGTTCTTGTTATTGTTATTGTTGTTGTTGCTGCTGCTGCTGCTGCTGCTGTTGTTGTTGCGGCTGTAGCTGTGGTTGCGGGTGTGGGTGTGGGTGTGGGTGTGGTTGGTTGGTCGGCGTTGACCATTGTGTAACTGTGTGTTGTTGTTGGCGGTGGTGGCGATGGTGGTGCGGTGTTTCTTTTTCTTGCTGCCTGTTGTTGCTTGGTGTTGCTTGTTGTTTATTGTTGTTGCGGTTGCTGGTGTTGTGTGATCGCAGAATGGGTATTTTATGTTTATGTCACTGCGCTTGCATCTAGGCTATGGATGCAAAAGCACATGTATCCAGAGCGGGCGGGTGTAAGCGGCCCTCCATGTTGAACAGGCTCTGCAGGTTCAAACGAGGCGGCCAAATGCGGCCAAGCAAAACGTTGGCCCCTCTGGTCCATGCTTTCCAGCGCTTTAGTTTGCCTTTTTCATGTCAACAGAAGTCAAGCGTGGTCCTCAGTTCAACCGCCCCCGAACGCGCGCCATGCCAAAAAACGGCTTCGTGCCTGATACTAGTACGACTTGAGTCCATTACTTCCGAACAATATAGCGCAAAGATCCATTGGTTGAAGAACCAGGTCAGCACGCCAATGAGCCAAAAGACCCACACAGTTATATAATATAACCTTGAAGA